ATGAAAAGTGGTATTCTGAATTTGCAGTGATTGTGTTGAGAGGCAGCAACCTTAGCAGCAGTTAATAAATGATGCACTCTCTCTTACAGCCAGAAACCAATGGATGGAGATGGAAGTTACATCTTTCACTATTATATCTAACAATGCATTGAAGGAATGCTTGCTTCTGTTACAATATTGGATTTGGTAGATTTGGAAGTCCTATTATTCAAGGGTAGAATTCTTCCCTTAGGGAACAGAGTCATGCTTTCAATAAATTTGAAAGTCGATACTAATTCTTAGCCATTTGTGGCTTTTCATGAACTAACAGACACAGGAAAAAATCACTGTACTGGCTGATTAATTGATTCTAATTATCAAGGGAAAATTGGGTTGCTGCTACACAATAAAGCCAAGGAGGATTATTACTGGAACCCAATGGATTCACTGAGGTTCCTCTTTTGCTTGTCAAACAGCAATAATCAATGAAAAACTGAAACATAGGACTATCAAAACGCTCAGATCCTGCAGTGATAAAAGTTTCAGTTATTCCACTGAGCAAAACAAGACACACCCAACCAAGGTGCTGCAGAGGGCAAAGAAGAACAAAGAATTGGTTGTGGGAAAAGAAAAAAAAAACTATGATTATCAAACTTAGTACTCATAAGAATCTAGAAAATCAGGGGCCAAAGAAGTTATGCTTTACTTTTTTTTTCTTTCTTCTCACCCCTATTTAAATAAAGAATAATGGTAGTAACTAACATTTTATTTTCCGGTGGAAATATCATTTAATTGACATTATCCTGCAATTAGATGGTAGCCGATGGGAATTTGTGTGTTCTCTGCATTGGAGACACAAGTATTTTATCTGAACAATGAGTGGATGCTGAGGAGCAAAAATAAATGAGCTGTACTGGATATTACCTGCCTTATTCTCCAGAGCCACTCTTCACTCTCAGCCATTCTGCATACGTACAGGAGGTTAACCTTTGTGGACTTCATCAATGCATTCCTCTCCCTCTGATTTGTAGTTGAATTTGATTCATGGGGGACACCAGCAGGAAATTAAAGGGCAAATTTGCTGTGTCATTTTACGAAAGGCCTCAGTTCTTGTCAGAGAAAGTCTTCACCTATAGGTAGTCTTTCCAGGTTATGGGAATCATTCTTTTCCTTGAATCTTCGAAGCAAGGAGTCATAAGTGTTCTTCGTATTGCTAGTCCTAATGAGCTTAACTGAGATTTGTTGATTTCTAATAACCTTTCCTACATCTTAATAAATCATCCCTTTATTAATCTATTTTAATTATCCTATTTGAAAGTGCCATCTGTTTTCTGTCAAGACTCTGAGTGACACATCAAGTATCGATTTCCCCCTAAATAACCTGAGTAAGTTCTGGGATCTGCAGAGCCAAGTCATATTACCTTTCATCCAAATGTATAAACCAAAAATCTGGGAATCATCAATGACACAACCCTGTGACACTCCCTACTCTTCATATCCAATTCATAACTGTTTCCTATCAATTTTATATCAAACATATATCTCAATTTCCTCTATTTATTTCTTTTATCATTATTACTTTCTTAGTCCAATCTACTATTATCTTTTGCATGAATTATTGAAATAGCCTCCTGTTACTTTCTTCCCTTTTGTCCTGCTTTAATGTATTTTCTTCGCTGCAACCAAAGTGATCCTTTAAAAACACTAATCCATTTCCTTCCATGTTTCTGATAAAAACCTTTCAACGGTTTCCTAATACTTTAAAAATATCAATTTTTATGACCTAGCTTAAAGGGTTCTACATGATCTAGACTCTTTTTTTTTTTCAACTTCTTATCATACAATTCTCTTTATTTGATGAGCTCCAGCCTTTTTCTTTTACTTTGTTCAAACACCACACTCATTCCTGCCTCAGGTATTTAGCTTCCACTTTCTTTTAACTAAAATATTCTCTTTTCATTTGCTTCATTTATACTACTGAGGGTTCAGTTCTCAGCTAAAATTTATATTCTCAGTTAAGACTTCATTAATAGTCCAGGATTACCCCCACACCTCATTATAAACTCTCATTAGCATTCTATATTTTTTTCTTTATAACAAAATAGTGTAATTATTTGGGAAAAAAGTATTTCATGTCCCAGGAGACTAGATGCTCAATGGGTGGTGCCTGTCTCTTTTGCTCACAACTGTACACATTCCAAAAGCCTAGAATAATGCCTGGCAAATGAGTAAATGAATGAACAAATGAATCTATGCAATCAATAAACATGTGGTAGTGGATGAAGGGATAGAAGGGAAAAGTAGCACAAGGTATGAAACCCCAAATTATGCTTCGCACAACATATTTTAGATAGATGACTGTCCGTTTTTCTGGTTGATACCAATCTTGGGTTCTGAATGAGTGGACAAACAATAGGAAAGCTAGTCTCTGTCACAGATCAATTCCTCACAGATTCCAACATCAGCTTATATTTTAAGTGTTTCTAAGATTTTCTATTTTTTTAAAATATTTATTGATAGTGAAAATTTATAAAAGATTGCACTTGGGAGGTGGTGCTAGCCTTGTGTTGTTTCATACTGTAGCAACTAAGACTTTTGTTTTATTTTTTAATTTAGGCACATTTAGGAACACAATTTGATAAACAAGGTATCTCACTACATAGAACTTCCTTTAGGGTCTTGTTCTTTTACTACTAAGTCTCTTTCTTGGTATTATATTCTTTATCTTGTGTGAATGTCACCTTTAAAATTATTATAAATTTGGCTATGGTTTAATAGCTGTTCGTGTAAAAAAACCTTGCCTTTAATTATGCTTTTTATTTGTTTCATTTTTCTCTCTACCTATTCTCACTTATTTATGCTTCAGGATGAACCTTCAAATAATTTTGTCAAGTTCCAGAGACAATTCTTTTGGGATTTTGATTGAGATGAGGTTAAACTGATAAATTTAAGGAACGATTTGTCTATTTGTAACATTCTTTCTTCCCTCCCATTTACTCAACTATTCTTTTATATCTCTTAAGTTTTGTTTTCTCCATAATAATTCTGTACATCTCTTGTTCAGTGCTCCCTTATGTCTCTGCTGCTATTATGACTAGAATATTTGTTTTACCTGCATTAACTTTTTAATTGGTTGTGATATAAAGAAAAGCCATTGGTTTTTGTTTATATTATACTGAAACTTCCTATTTATTTTTAAAGTTTTCAATCAATTTATTAGTTTTATATTTTAAAATTCAATATGGTAATAAACATTACTTCATCTTGCCTTAAAAAGTGATACTTGTTGTTCCACATATTATTGCATTGATCAAATGTCTAAAACAACATTGAATGGCTGCAATAACCAGCATTTTTTCTTGCATTTCACCATTATTCGTGATGCTGATTACTTAAGATAAATTTGTAAAAGAAATGCGTCTCTCTTTTCCTAATTTTTATACATATTTTTAAATGAAGAATGGGTATCTGATTTTATCAAATTCCTTCTAAATGTCCCTTCTAAATATTCTCTTTATAAAGAACCAGTTCCTTTTTTTTTGACATATCTTCAGAGTTTTATTTCTCTTGATTTTTGTAATAAATTTTACAAGTGCAAAAATAGACTATGTCTATACGATGATAGAAAAAATAAAAGTAGATAGTAAAAGTTGATTCCATTGTCTCTGGAATTATTATAGAATCAGTTACATATATAACTTTAATACTCACTTTACTATTACTTTTTTACTGCTTTTTATTTTTTGTTGTGGAGACATTGGTTAACAAAATCCAGTAAGTTTCAGGTGTACAATCCAACTGTAAGGCATATATATATATTTCATTGTGTGTTTACCACCTATAGTTTTCTGGCACCACATATTTAACTCCTTTCATCCCATCTATCTTGCCCCTCCCCTTTCTTCTCCTCTACCCTCTGGTAACGGTAACCACTAGTCTATAGTCTATGTCCATGAATCTCTGTTTGTTTGTCCTGTTTGTTTGTTGCTTTTAAGTTTCCTCAGCTACTGTGATTATTTTCTAATTATCACATCTTTTTTTCTCATTTTTAATGTTTGTATTGTTGTTTTATTTATAAAATCTTAAATATTTAGTTAATATATTTCCTTTTCTAAAAAAAAAACAAGAGAATATTTAGGGCTACAGATTTGACTGAGTACAGTTTTGGCTACTGAAATTGATCAATAGTCACTACCAGCAGGTAGTCAGTGATATCAAGAACAATTCTTTTTTAATTTTTATTTTTCAATAACAGTTGACATTCAATATTATTTTATATTAATTTTAGGCATACAACAGAGTGGTTAAGACATGTATATAATTTACGAAGTGATCCCCTCAATTAGTCTAGTACTCACCTGGCACTATACATAGTTATCACAATATCATTGATTATATTCCCTATGCTGTACTTCACATCCCTGTGACTATTTTGTAACTACCAGTTTGTACTTCTTAATCCCTTCACCTTTTTTACCCAGACCTCTAACACCCCTCTCATCTGGCAATCTCCAGTTTGTTCTCTGTATCTATGAGTCCATTTCATTTTTTTTGTTTGTTTATTTTGTTCTTTAGATTCCATAGAAATAGTCAAAGATATTGGTTCTGCTTCTATGGAGTGTATATTCTTAGATAAGTGAGTAAAGATCACAGCATGTGAAGTTATTAAAAGTCATTAACATCTTATCCAAAGTTCTTAGTGACCTATTATAGCCATATATGGTTGTTTATATATATATATATGAAGAATCACATTAAAAAGTTTGAAATTGCTATGGTCCTGAAGGATATTATACATAGTTGCATTTACATGTAAACCAATTACGAGATATTAAAAAAAAAAAGAGTAACTGGCATGATATCAAAAAATGTAAATTGTATTATAAAATACAAACTTGTGGTGTAAGGGCAGAGCTAAGCCCATATTTTAGATTTATTGCATTATTGCAGGTACACCAAAGCTAAATAAATATTGTTAATTGTTTGTATTAAGTATACCTCAAGTAATAAACAGCAGTTGAATATGGCAAAATTTATTATATGGTTGTAGAATTCATACAACCTAAATTCCTTATGGCATTCAGCACTTGTACAGTTTTGTGGATTTCACAATACAGATATTAGTGAAGAAGAATCACTGCATTAGTGAAAATGACTTCTTTATGAAAAATTTTCACATATGTCATATATATTACAGAGCACCTAACAGAAATGCAAAAATGTAATTTTTAAATTCAGGAAAGTAGCAGAAATGAAAAACAAACAAAACTTAACAATGTTAAGAGATTTGACATGCTTTACACAAAAAAGATCAAAAACAATTTTAAACATTTAAATGTAAACCATGCTCTACTATATGACTGAGTGAAGAGCTTACTTTAAAAAAACAACACAAAGTTTGGAATTTATTGTCAAGATGTTAACTGACATATTCATGCTGCTTTCAGAAATCTAAGCCCTATAAATTCAAAAGAAAAACATAAAAAATATTTAATTTCATTTTCAAACAACAAGCAATGCCAATTAAACTAAATTGACAAGAGCTTGCAGTAGTTAGTAGGGTTCCCCCTCTCTTTTTCAGTATAAGGAATAGAGTAAATGCATGAGTAAATATCTTGAGTATACCACACACTTTAATGCTGAAGTTATATTGTAAATCTCTGACTTCTTTTTGCTAAGAATACTCTTTATGTTCTCACTCTTGACAGATCTTGGTCTCAACAATAAATTCGTTGGGGAAGTGTCTAATCTTCCAGCATTTATCAATGGCACGTTTGTTGAAACCTGTGAGGAAATGCACACACAAAAAGTAGCTGTTTAATTTTTTGTGTAAATGAAAACATATCTGGATTTCCCCCCGACTTTTCCCTGCACTCCACTCTCACTCTCCTTCAATGCCCCAATAACACAGGGTGAAGGGAGGAATAAATTGCCTACCCAGCAAGAGGTCTCTTCTACGAAGACGGAAGGACTTGCGGTTGTTACAAAGTTGGTAAATAAAGATGCCAAGGTTACTAACATCACGAATCTCTTCCACAGCAACCAGGTCTTCACGAACGACATAAGTGCGAGGTAGGTATTTTCCACTCTAAAATTTTTTTAAAGATTGAAATGAGAAATTCTTAAAAACATTATTTAAATCCTTACCAATAGCAGATATACTTCTTGAAATAAACTATTTTTAGAGCAGTTTTAGGTTCACAGCATACTATTATTTGAAAATTATTTCAATAAAATGGAACATGTTTGGCTGAAATCATTATTTTTTTAATGAGGAAGCAAAATTATTTGGAAATGCTTATATAAAAATTTGATATCCAAAATACATACAGCCAGTTTGCCAAAGAGCTCCACTAGATTCTTTGGAGGCATTACAATAGAGGTATTGAGAGGCATCAGATAGCAGTTCCCCAGCAGTAAGTCCAAGTAAGCAGTCATGCCCTATTGGGGAGGAGGGAAAAAGATAGTTATTATCTAGAGAGTATCAACACTTTAGATTTCCCAAATACCATAAGAACAAGCAGTTCTAAATCAACTAATGTATATTCAATAGCAAAAGAAGGAAAAAGTCTCTGTTGCGAAAAATGTCAATTTATGAACAGATTTAATATTTCCAATGAACTAAGAATAAAAAGAATAAAAAAGAAAATTCAGAAAATTCAGAATCCCACCTTTTCGAAGTCATGAATAATTGCTGCAGGGTCACTATCAGAGAAACTGGGGACAGGCACATCAATGATTGCAACGTTGTCATTCTCACGAATGTCAGCCTCCTCCATCACAGGCAGGAAGTAGGGCTCTCCCCTTTGAAGGGAATTTGTGGGGTCCTCAGAATCAACGAAGCACATTTCTCCACGGTAGATGGTACTCTAAAAGACAAAAAGTAAGAATTAAAACCTTCTAATATGCATCACGATGACATTTGAATATTTCTTATGCTCATATCAATTTGTTTTATTGTTTGTCAAACTGGGGACTGTTGATTACAGTTATCATCATGAAGACTAATCAATTCAATAAACTAAGTAATTTGGAAACTTTCACTAAATCTTCATTTCTCTGGTGAGGAACACAGAATTATTTAAATTGCTACAAAATGTATAGCAATTAGTAATCCAGATTATAAGAATTGTAACTGTTATTACCTTGGGCATGAAGTACTTGTAAATGCAGGCTCCACCAACAATAAGTCCTGCCAAGATGAATGAAAGGCCTAAGAGAGTAAGCATGCATCTTCCAGAGGAGTCCTCATTTTCCTGGGTAGCAACTCGGAGCTCCTGTTAATTAAAAAACAAGAAAAACAAAAAAACAGATTGTACTTTAGACACATAGTTGCTTTTGTGTACAATTAACCTCTCTAGAATCCCAAGATATATTTTTAAAAGGTGTTATTAAGTCATCCTAGCCTAAATTCATTTCTAGACATTTTCTGATGTTTAATAGATATGAAAGTCTCTAATTACATTAACCTTCTTCCTGGCAAACATAAATATTAAATTATTCCAAAACACATACTTGTAGAATCAGCTGAAAATAACCATTCATTTATGCAATAAGTTACTCTCTTTAAATAAATGGGAGCCATTACTTTTTGGACCTGAACCATGATATAATCACTAACTTTCTGGCATACAATTATGTTTCGTTATTATTTTTTATAAATCAACTTGTTGTCCAACTTAAAGGTAAATTAATATCCTTTGATTTATTAACTCATTTTCAGAAATCTGTTTATTTATTTAAGTTTTATAGGAAGAATTCTACAAAGCAGGTATATGATGTTTTCCCCTATTTTAGAAATTAAAACACTGGAGGCAAGGCATATTTCATAATATATCTAATTTTAATAAGAAAATAGGCTTCTTAATGTCATCCAATGTTCTATAGCTGTGTGTTGTATGAATGAAATACTGTTTTCCAAGTTCTGGACAAAACGCTAGATTTTAAAGTACAGCATTTGCCATAGCGCGGCACAAGGGCTGTGTGTTTAATAGTGACTGTAAAATTCTGTTAAATTGATAATTTGTTTATCAATTGGAACAAGAAAGATCCAAAACAAATAAGTAACCAATTATCTCTGTAATTTTCCCAGGGCAGTGGACCAAGGGGCCAGCCAATCTCATTCTTATATGTCACAATATGCCCTATGCAGCATTATTATTCAAGGGTAGAATAAATAAAGTCAGCAAATCTAGTTTCTGGTAAATCATTCAGACTTATATATAAACAGAATTGTTTCGGTTTTTCAGGCCATTAGCTCTTTACCATAATAACTACTATAATGTTTATGAGGCTTATTTAACCTTCATTTAATTTGGTGGGAAAAAAAATGCATGGATTCTAAGGAGAGGCAATAAATTGGTAAAGGGTTTGCTGAAAAAATGATTTTTCTTTAAAATTCAAAGAAATTTGGTATTCAGATTTTCTTAGCTAAATATATTTGAAAGTTAAATTTTCCATTAATTCTCTATAAAACTTAAAAGCTTTTCCTTGTCCCAATAATTTTCAGAAATTTAAATTATTTTTATTTAAGAAAACCTAACCTATGCTTAACATTACAAAGACAGAATTATAAATTATAATTGTAAAACACTGTTATCTAGAGCTAGAAGCTTAGAAATTATATTTTAGATGATTAGAGGTCCAGAAAGACGAAATGACTTACTTATGCCACAAAATGTCTTAATTTGAAATTCTCAAGAAATAAATTCCTTTTTTTCTTGTTGTCGAGATATAAGAACAATTTACACTTCAATTTCATTTCTCCTTCCAATAATTCATAGAATTTATTTTTAAGCAAGTTCTAAATATTAAAGTCTTAATTTCATAAAATTTACCACCATACTAGAAAAATTTGATGGACGCGTGGTAGGGGCTGTCACCATAGCTAATTTTTCTCTGAACTGTATTTTAAAGACATTGTACACAACTTCTGACATACTATTCTGTTGTGCTCAATCTCTGACAAGCTGACTAATACATCACAACATAATGTATCAAGTATTATTAAATCAGTGTCCTATAGTGGCCAGGTCAGAATTTTGTGGGAGCTTCACCAACACCTAACAAAGAAATATAATCATAGTGTAAATACTAATTTTTATTTAGTCTTCATCACACCACAGGCCTGGCAAAAGTATTACTTGCATACTAACTAAATCTAACTACAAGTCATGAAGTTTTTGGTGGTGAAGAATAAAAAAAAAGATTAATGTGTGGCCATATTTAACTGCTGGCATCTAATTAGACTTCCCAAAAATCTGACCATGTTTCACTTACAAAGTAAGTAGAACAATTACATATTTGACTTTCTGTCACTTAATTAAAACCTCAACAATGCAAGGAGGTGTAACTTTTAAGTTCTGAAATGTATAATACACAAAAGCTAGTTTGATTGCTGGGTTAAATACTAAAAGTTTCTATGATAAAAATTCTCCATAAGCGCATTAGCATTTCAAATTGTGTGCATAATCAGTTTTACCACATTAATTCTCCGTTCACTTAAAACACTATCAAATCTCCACTCTAAACACGAAAGTTAAAACTTTAAGGAAAGAACAAGTTAGCACAGATCTGCACACTTCAACACTGCATAGACTTTGTAGAACAAAAAGAAAATACAATTGTGCCTTTTAACATTGAGATTTTACTGAGGAAAATGAGAATAGTTTACAAACACTGAAAACATATTAGACGTTTAAAGGAAGTAGAAATTGTACTAAATAAATAATGGCTAACATTTTGAGGAGAAAAACTCCCTCAGTTCCTGGCAATGTTAAAAGTTTAAATTACAAGGCTAGACTGGCTTCAGATCTCTCTATGGAGGAGGAGATGTAGATGGGATATCGCTGAAAAATGAAGTACTGAAAAAAAATAGAAAAAACTCAAATTTTCGTTTTACGAAAGAGAGTGTTTTTTAGGCAGTGCCGCTCTGAAAACACACAAGGATCTTTCAATAAGAGGGCACAACGAACATCTCAAATTCTAATTACGACCAACCTCAAGTTTGACAGATCCTTCACTGAATGCTTAACGCCACCAGGGAGAAATTGAAAATAAACACTGGCGGGCACAAACGCACTTGGCCCCAACCCATATCGCTTTGAGTCAAAGCTGCCTTTTGCCCCTCCCCCAAACACTGAGCTATCCTAAAAGACTTAGATAAATAGAATTTCATACACGTCAAAAAGAAAGAAAGAGTTAAATCTCTTGCCCTTGATCACTCTGAGTGTCAGCTCAGCCCCTGTGGAGCTGGGGAGTGGGCAGCATGCCTCTCACTGATTCCCAGACGCCCACATGTCTCCCAGGAGAAGGTGACATCGGGTCCCAAAGGTTCTCCTCAAACTCTAACATTCCTCCTAGATGTACAGCGTGGGTTGAAACCAACAGAACGTGGCGCAACTTGAGGGGATGCTAAGGGGCGTGGGGCACAGCAAACGGAAGGTGGCGCGACTAGACAGATCAGGGGCGACTGGGCAAACCTGACGGACAGCGCAGAGGAGACCGCCCAGGAAAAGAGGGGTTGCGTAGCAGCTTTCATTTTGTCCTCTATCACTTTCTCCCTTTCTTCCTCCGCCCCCACCCCCAAAGACGCATTCCCCACCTTCCCGACCCAAGCAGGAAGTCAGGAGTGGAGTGGGGACCACTACCTTGCCGGTCAGAATCTGAGCTCGGACCGTGCGGCTTACAAGAGCCTCCACGTCTTGCCGTGCCTCCTCTTTTTGCACCGCGGTGGGTGTGTTGAAGGCGATTTTCACCATGGTGAATCTTCGGGCTGCGCGGTAAGGCGCCGCTCGAATCAGCGTCCTGGGCTGCAGGTTGGAAGAGAAGATCGCGCTAGCCCTAGCAGCACTTACTTTCTCTCTCGTTTGCCTTATGCTGCTGCAAGCCCAGGTCTAGGGATACTTATGACGCAGTCCCAAACGGGTGGGAGACCGTGGGCGGGCCGAGGGAGGGGCGGAGGGAAGAGTGGGAGGAAGTCCAAGCGCTGGGATGGGGGAGGGGGTTGTCAGTGAGGGAAGAGAAGAGCTGGATGGGGCTGGACAGCCTCACCTGCACTCTAGGCGTGTTCCCACCCAGTCTCTGCACCCTCAGATAAGATCAAGACAAGAAGGAAGCCTGTCTGTTTTGTCTTTCTGTCTCTGTCCATGCCACAATAGCCCCTGATCTTTGCTTCTGTTTTCCCAAACTTGGGCCTGGACCCTGAGGGGCCGGGAACTGTAATTTGGCAGAAACCCACGCTTCCTCAGCTTTGCACCCTCCCAGGTCCCCAAAGCACAGTTTCGTGACTGTTCTGTTTCTTTAGAATGATGCCTTCTCTTGAAAGAATACTCAGAAGCCCGTTTATAGTTACTTCAGTTCATTCTCTCAACATTGTTTTTCTTTCTTGGCGTTTGTTTTGTAATTTTAATTTCCCAACCTAGAGCAATGCTAAATCAGAAATACAAGACTCCTGCCTCCTCCACTCGCCATTTCGCGGGCAAGAAATGATGAGACACAGAGGAGGATGGGAAGTTCATATCGAATTCATGAAATAATCCAGATCCTTTCACTCTCCCAGGTCAGGGAAACCAGAGTAAGGACTCAGCCCAGAGCTTGTTTCTCTTCAGCCACCAGCTGTAAAATCTTCAAGTAAAAAGCAGGGGTATGAGTGCACCTATTTTTTAGGGGTGTAGAAGTGTGGGTGGAGGATACGAAATTTAGCTAGATGCTAAGCCAGCTGTAGTGGGAAACAATTAACTCAAAGGGGCTAAATTGGATATCATTATTGGAACATTTAAATGTGCAGCCAATGTTATGCTATTTCTTTACAATAAGTTCTCCCTTATTGGTGACACTGATAGAGAACCTCTCCATGTGAAATTTGTGCTAAGGAGGTTGATGACTAGGGTAGTGACAAAGAGTTTATAAATAGTCCTGCTGCAAAAGCAGTAGAGTGGTCTGTTATGTGAAAGCAGTAACATTTACTAAAAAAAAAATCCAGTCTGTGCTAGAGAATCCCTCATCTACTCATATATTTATTAAAGGGACTTGAATATAAGAGTCACCCACCCATTTGTTCAAGGAATTCCAGGTTGGAGTTTTTCCCATTGAGGTTTCCTTGACTCTGAAGCCCATCACTTGTCTCCACTGTGGGAGCTTTGTGAAGACAGATTATTTTCTTGGGTAGGCCACAGATGGGAAGGTAAATGGAGGGATACAGTGGGGGAGCCTGTGCCTTATACAGGGCCAGATATTTGAGTTCGTTTGGAGATATTGGCATCTTTCACTATGTTCTTTCACTTAGTCTTTGCTCAAGTCTTGGCATTATAATTTAACATTTATCAGGCAACCTTTAGTGTAGACTGAGGAAATCTCAACTTTCTAGGATGTTTCTCATTACATTTACCTGCCATTTTCCACCACCTTTGTGACTATTCAGCTCAGAGTCTGTGCTAGTCTGACTCTGTGATACACAACACACAGATAGCTGAACAAATTGTTGCTCCTACACATTTACCTATCAAGCATAAGGTGCTAATTGGGATGGTAAAGTATTGTCTTGATGTGTCTTCCCTGAAATGTGGTTAGGCAGAAGGGTGGGATTAGTTCCATTTTTCAGATGAATAGACTCAAACTCTGGTAACAACCAAAGGAGTATATGATTAATTGCTGGGGATGTGACATTGAGTAAGTCATCTCATCAGCCTGAACCTCAGTTTCTTCCTCAGTAGAATGGTGCAATATTTTCATTCTGTTTCTGTGAGGATCATTTAGGATAATGAAGGAGCAAGCACCTTTTCAATTATAAAAAAGGATAAGAGAATGAAATGGTTGGTTATGCTAGGATTCTTATTTTAGTCTGTAATATACACATGTTTCAAGATTATAAAATGATCTATTTTTGAAGTAAAACACTCATTATTTGCTGGTGACACGATACTATATGTAGATAACCCTAAATATTTCACTCACACACACACACACACACACACACACACACACACACACACAAACTGTTAGAACTGATCAATGAATTCAGTAAAGTAGAATATGAAATATTCAGAAGTCAGTGACAGTCTTATACACCAATGATGAACTTTCAGAAAGAGAAATTAAGAAAACAATCCCATTTACAATCACATCAAAAAGTACAAAATACCTGGGAATCATATTAGCCAAGGAGATAAAAGACCTGTTCTCAGAAAATTATGTCATTGAAAAAAGAAACTGAAGAAGATACAAATAAATGGAACCATAAACTGTGCTCATGGGTAGAAGAATCAATATCATTAAAATGGCCGTATAATCCAAAGCAATCTGTAGATTCATTGCAATCCCTATCAAAATAACAATGGCATTTTTCAGAGAGCTAGGACAAATAATCCTAAAATTTATATGGAACCATAAAAGACCCCAAATAGCCACAGCAATCTTGAGAAAGCAGAACAAGGTTTGAGATATCATACTGCCTGGTATCAAACTACACTACAAGGCTACAGTAATCGAAACAGCATGATATTGGCATAAACACAGATACATTGATCAATGGAACAGAATAAAGAGCCCAGAAATAAATCCATGCCTGTATACTCACTTAATATATGACAAAGGACACAAGAATATACAATGGGGTAAAGACAGTCTCTTTAATAAATGATGCTGGGAAAATTGGACAGATATATGCAAAATAAAACAAAACAAACAAAAAAAAATGGACCACCTTATTATACCATATACAAGAATAGACTCAAAATGGACTAAAGACTTAAGACCCAAAACCATAAAACTTCTAGAAGAAAACATTGGCAGTAAAATCTCTGATATTACTAATAACAATTTCTTTTCGGATACAGTCCCCTGGCCAAGGGAAACAAAAGAAACAATAAACAAATGGGACTACATCAAACTAAAAAGATTTTGTACGACAAAGAAAGCCATCAGAAAAAACTAAAGCAAAAACAAGACAATCTACTGATTGGGAGAAGATATTCGCTTATCATACATCTGATAAAAAGTTAATATCCAAAATATATAAAGAACTCATACAATTCAACAACAACAACAAAAAATACCACAAACAATCCAATCAAAAAAATAAGCATATTTCTCCCAAGAGGAAATACAGATGACCAATAGACATATGAAAAGATGTTCAAGGTCACTAATCATCAGATAAATGCAAATTAAAACCACAATGAGATATCACCTGATACCTGCCAGAATGGCTATCATCAATAAATCAAAGAACAAGTGTTAGCAAGGATGCCGAGAAAAGGGAACCCTCATACATTGTTGATGAGATTGCAAATTGGTACAGCCACTATTGAAAACAGTATGGAGGCTTCTCGAAAAATTTAAAATGGTATACATCTTGACCTAGCAGTTGCACTTCTAAGTATTTCTCCAAAGAAAACCAAAATAATAATTTGTAAAGATCTATGCACCCCAATATTCATTGCAGCACAATTTACAGTAGCCAAGATATGGAAGCCACCTAAATGCTCATCAACAGATGATTGGCTAAAGAAGTTATGGTTCATATATACAATGGAATATTACTCAGCCTTTAAAAAAAATGAAATCCTACCACTTAGAATGACATAGATGGACCTAGAGGTTATTATGCTGAGTGAAATAAGTCAGGCAAAGAAAGATAAATACCATATGATTTCATTTATATGTGGAATCTAAGGGACAAAAAGAACAAACTAATCAAAAACTAACTCACAAATATAGAGGACAACCTGGTGACAGCCAGAGAGAAGGGGGTTTTGGGGGCTAGGAGAAAGAGGCAAAGGGTTACAGAAGTACAAATTAGTAGTTGAGAGATGATCACGGGGATGGGGAGCACAGCATAGAGAATGCAGTTAACATTAATATATTTGCTAGGTGGAAAGCCAGAGGAGAAAAGGAATAATTAGGGAGATTGTCTTATAAACTATATAAATGTTTACTTAATGTACTGTATACTTGAAACTAATAAAAAAAAAAGGATGATCTATTTTTTTTTTATCCTTCAACTATTTTTTAGCTTCTAGAGCAGCTTAAGATAGTACCTGAATATAAGTTGTCTTGGAAAAGATCAGACCTCTGAGATAGTCACATAAATCGACATCTAACTTTTTTGTTGGATTTTGAAAAATTTGGCCATCTCCTGTTAGTTTATGTCATGTCCTCTTTCAGGAATGTCACCAACATCTCTCTAAGTACCTTTGCTGCTGTTGGATATATGCGATGCAGGATGTAAGGTAGCAGATACTGCTACCTTCTCAATATAAATAATACTTGTATTAGAATCACAGAGAAGCAACAACACCCATTGTTAGTGTCCATTTCAGGAAGGACAAATAGTTCCTGAATGTTCTTTGAATTTCAAAATATAATCTACCACTTACTCATTGGGCTGGAACTAGTAGTGAACATATTTCCATCTACTAAAAAAAAAAAAAAAGGCTCTCATTGGCTAAGCTCTTTCGTGTACTCTTCCCTTCCCAGTAACAGCTTCTTGTTTCTTATAATCAACTTCTCTCCCTTTCTTGTATTTGGAAACTGTGGGGATCTGCCTGCCATATTGATTTTAGCTAACATTGTTCATCATGTCTGAATGCTCACCGTTCAAGTTCATAAATGACTTCTCTGTTCTCACACGTCAGATAATGACTAAATTATCACAACTTGGGCTGAATGGAACATGGCATATGATTGGATGCTTAGCAATGATGTAAACTCTCTTTGATGATCTGAAATTACCAAAAATGCAATCACACAAAAATTAGGCTACTAGTGGCATATGTGATGCCACTAGGATTCATTCATTAACTCATTTTTTTCATTAACTCATTCATCAAATATTACTGAGAGTCTACTTCCTTGTGCTATGATTTGTCATGGGAATACAGTGGTGAGCAAAGCAGACACAACATTACTCTTATACAGCATGTCAGTACTACATCCATGGCAATGACATGTTTGACACAAGTTCTCCAGTTTTTGCATTGGTCT